CGAAACCGCCGGTTCGGCCATCTTCCGCTCATCATCCTGGCCCCAGATCTTCTCCAAACCTCCCCAAACTTCTTGGACACATCCACAGATGTCCTTACAGCTCGGATTACATCCAGAGGAGCTTCGCCCGGTTTCGCTTGCCGCTTGCCATCTTGGTGTTGAACTCTTTACGGACGTCTCTGTATGCTTGCGTCTTGCTAGCGTCCTCCGAGTCGAGCTCCATCGCAGAGAGATGGGACCAAGCTGTCTGCGCTCTGAGGTAGTGGTGGAATTGTGCATTGGTGACCTTGTCGCGCCAGCCCTTGCCACCTTTGCCCTTGGTATTGGCCGTGTAGTCATATTCGTAGAGCAGAGCCTCGGTCTTCTGAACGACATCCTTGAGTCAGATGAAACCCGTAGGGTCTGATGCAAGGAACTGGACTGTCGTGAGGACATGACGTCCGCAGGAATAGATGCACGAACCTGATAACGTTTGATGAGACGTTTCTCGATGCTCTCGTGTGTGAGTGCAAGCGAATGGGCGCATTGCAAAGACAGGGCGATCGTGGTCAGGCCGGCTTGTTCTCCGGGTGCGGGAGCGGCATAAAATTGCATCTGTGGAAGAGCATGAGCGTGTACAACAACAGATCAAAGCATATGACGACCCACCCAGTTGCCATCTTCCGGCGGAGAATAGCCACGGAGGGCTCGCTCGAACATGTCATTTTCGGCAGAGCCATGGCGCGCTGCAACGTCGGAATTGCCTGCTTGGATGAGGGCAGCAAGCTCGCGTGGTTGGACGCGTGGATTGTTCAGCACGGCATTAAAGACCTTCTGGGCGCGATTGAACGCAGTTGCTGCATGGCGGGCTTTCTTGGAGATCGGAGCATCATCAGTAGTCGAGGTACTGGTGCGCAGCTTCTTGGTCGGTGGAGGAGTGGGCGAGGAGGACCGAGAGCGTTGAGGGACATCGGGTGGTCGTATTTGAGAGGCGACTTTTTGTAGCGCGTCGCAAATGTCGAGACGCAGCTTGGCTGAGCGCGGTGAGGGTAGAGGATCGCCGTATTGAACAGCCAGCTCCCCTAGGAAGTGGTTAATACACCGAGGGGTGATGGGGGGGTCGTCGAATTCCGGCGGGGGCGTCCACGCAGGTGTAGGACTTCTCCGAGGAGGAGAGGAGCTGTCCATTGACGTGGTCGAAGGAGGACCCGCATTGACGAGCGTGCTCATTATATACCTCTGTAAGATGGGATGACATCACTGCACAGTGATCGAGCATGAGCCCACCGCACGAGTGTCGGTGTCGAGAGCTATGTCGTACCAGTTCTGCCAGCGAGTCAGCGACGTCGGTTGGGGCAACTGCCTATGAGAATATGACCCGTTAGAAAATGTCCTCACACAGGTCGGATATGGTGTAACGGTTTAACATTGCCGCCTCTCATCGAGGATTAGAACCTGGATAAATGGTGCGCGGCAGCTCGGGGTTCGATTCCCCGTATCCGAATACCTTTTTACCGACATTGTACGATGAAACCGGGATGCTCCTGATTTTTACAAGCCTTAGCGGGGTCGAGGCTGTGTCGCTGCCTTTCCTCGTGAACTCCGAGCGAACCATGGTCTCTTTTTCTACGTCCCTTGAAGAATCTGAAGCACCGAGGCTC